GCAACACGCAGGAGAACGAAAAAACACGGCTTTTCTTTTTAGATGCGTTCACACGCATGCTGATCACGTCGCACTTGGCTGATCTTTACCGGTGGCGCTGTAAGAGTTTCAGAAGGTTCCAGAAAAACAGCAACCTTCTCGTCACCACGTCTCCTACACCGATACAATCATCACCTTGACTGCACCAGACTACTCTATCCGTGAACCAGACTATTCTATCCATGACTGCTCTATCAACATGTAGATGGTTGGACAGGACGCAGCCTTGCCGAAGACCGGTGCCAACATCGAAATGCTTCGTCTTAACTCCATTTACTCTGACGACGCTGTTGACCATCTATATCGCATACGTTCGCCTGCACGACCAGAGACTGCTGCAAGAGATCCGGTCATGGGCTTTCTCTAGGTCAACAAAACACGTAACGGGAAAGGCGTACTCCCACGATTTCTCAACAATCTGGCGCACGGCGAACACATGGTCGGAGGTTCCCTGACCGCGCCGAAAGCCACCACTGCTCTTGTATCTTCCGTTATTCTGCGGCATCTTTGCGTAGCCTTTACCTGCGAAGCTGAATAACGTCAGTCCCGCTCATTACAGCAATCCCTGTGGTCCCCTTCTTGAATACGGGTACAATAACTCCCGTTCTCTAATCCACTGGTGTCTTTCCCGCAGTTTGACAGACACTTGTAAGCCAGAACATGCCTTGTTCACCTAATGCCTTTAGCATTTCAAGGCATTTCATCGATTTCATAAGCCTTTCCGTTTTTCAAGCGTTCAAAAGCTTGTGTAATTTCGTCTATGGAAATATTAATATATGTTCCCTCCTGCTCTACAGGTGAATCTTTCTGCGGTTGCTCGGGATTTAGGATTTCCTCAAAGCACCCATTCCATCGCCGAAGAATGTCATGATCTTTGGTAAATGGTTGTTCACACCTGTCCTTCAAGACTCTTAGACTGCCCTTCTTTTCACGTCGGAGCCGATGGATGGTCTTCCAGAATATCTTGTTTGTCATACGGAGATTCGACTCCAACACCTCACCGAATTTCTCCCAGGAATCAGCTTTGGCTTTCGTCACTGCTTTTGCTGCCGTCTTGTTTGCGTAGACATATCGGACGCGAGTAGACCGCTCTTTGTTTTCAAGCCATTTCTTGAACGTTGCCTTCACTTTATCTGCCAGTTGTACCTCTCGTGTCCACCAGGAGGAACTTTACTGACCTCCTGCCGGCGGGCCAACCCGTTTAAATCGGCAGCATTCGGCGGCAGCTTCGAGTAGGCCTCTCTTAAACAGCTGCCACTCGGGTTCCACGTCACTTGTCATCACCGGAATCTGTTCAAACCGTCCTCCTGCGATGTTATTT